ACAAATAAATGAGACAAATTTTGACAAGATCGCACTTATTATGGGAACTTTCAAGACAGTAAGATCAGGATGCATAGATTATGTGTTAAAGAGTTACAAAGCTCGTTCAACTTCAAAAATTCCAGTGTTTAAAATTTGCTGAGGAAAGGTTGGCCAATAATTGTATTTTTATTGGTAAATAGTCTAAACTGGCATAAATACAGATATACAATTACACATGAACACAAATCATATCATGAGAGTAATTTACACACATAAATGTAATGAGTAATGGACGAAGCCTTTGGTTGACTTCGAGCTAGAAAAATCTCTTTGAGGTAAATTACTAGCTACAAAAAAAGTTTCCCAAATAGGTGGATTCGACCTTATCGCATTGGGCAAGTGAAAACATCAAAAAAAAAAATGCTTTTAGTTCATAAGGTATTAAATAATCGACATGGTAATTTGTGACTCCGCCACTCTGGTAACCTTGATGAGCCCCATTTGGTGTATCTGGTGTGGAGCTTACTGTTAGAAGGTTCTCGTCTCCAGCCCAAGACCTATTTATAGGCGATTAAATATTGAGCTTCCACACACACCAAACCCCTACAGACCCCAAATGAGCCAAATAAAGTTAGCTCCGAATTCCATCTGCTGAGTATCGAGTTGCCTTTGTAGGCCCGGTTGAGTCTCCTGAACTGTCATTTGTCTTCTCTGTTCTGGTCATGTAAATCAAGGGTATATGCTGTCAATTCCCTCGGACATGTAAAGCTGCGACGATACAGCAGAAACCTAAAATGAGAATGAGAAAAGAAAACCGCCAATAGTTACTCCATTTACTCTTCAAAGTTTAAAGCAGGTTATCACCACCATTGTCTTTATAACACATTTGGTGTTGCATTCAGTATAGGTATCATATATCCAAATTATCCTGGTGCTTGTTCCATTAATGTTTACTTCTAACTCTTCGTAGTTTTTCCTCGTCTTATTAAGCTATTTTGTACATGGCAGACAGCAATATACGGTACTACCATAGTAATAGATGAAAAACAGTAGCAATGAAATATAGACATGATAATAGATGCGAATGCAGCCATAACACTACATTATAACACAGTTTATAAGGTCTTATAACGTTGTTTTCAGTTCAAAAATCTACACAAAGTGATTGCTGTCTAGTTTATGTTCCATTTGCAATCAGTTTGCTTAGTTAATTTTCAATTACAGGGTCATCATTTTAACACAACAGTGCTAAATATATTTGACGTAAAAATAAAGTTTTTTATTTATTATTTATTCTTTTAACAACAATTGTGGATTGATCATGGCCTAAAGGCGTTAAAATCCCTAGTTTGGCACAGCATTCTGCACTTCCACATATAGAGAAGTGTAGAATTAAGCAAAGAATGACAAATGTGAAATGGCCAAGGAAAAGGCTGCTGAAATCCAAAGTTTTTCACAGCTAGTCACTTCTACGCATAGAGGAATGTGGAACTAAGTAAAGAATGACAAGTGTGGAATGGCTGGGGAAAAAGGCCGGTTTAAATTTCCAGTTTGTCACATTATTCTACACTTCCACACGTGCACAGTTGTGATATTGAGTCGACTCCGATGCGGAAACTCGGGATTCCAAGGCCAGCACTGGACATGGCTCTAATACCCCGGAGAAAATGGTTGCAGTTTAAAATCTAGCAAGCACACCACACCTGTTATTCCAGCAGATATCTTCATCGAATACTCTTTCTGCCGCCCTGTTTATATTTGTTCTTTTTTCACTGCGTAGAGCTCCAGTTGACACAAAACCATATTTAGAGTAATGGCAGCTGAAAGAAATTTGAACCTCTGGTGCTCGCGTGATAACTGCTGTCCCCGGAGGAACATGACGAACCCTGTTACTGTATACCAGGCTGTTCTCAGTCTGACTGCTGGAGGTCCCGCATCCAATCAGAGTCGTTGTTAGAACAAAATGCGTACTATTTTCCGTTGCCGTACAGGTTGGATCCAGGAGCTGAAGGTTTTCTCGGTCGATGCTAACAAGTAAGGACTTAGGAAGAGATATTGACATTTCGTTGGTGTGACATTTCACATCTGCCCCACAAACTGTGAAAAGTGGTAGAAATAGGTTTATTGGAAAAATAAAGATTAAGAGTTGAACATTATGGTAATACAAGTGTAAAAAAATGCCGAAGAAAGCGTACAGACTAACTCCAAGTGCTAGTGACATTATTTCTCGCTACGATTGATGTCACACACGCACGGCATTCATGTTATTAGCTATTTAATACAACTTCAGTCATAGAGAATTATATTAGAACATTGTATGAATTGTTATATAATCGCCGCATAATTGAGCACCGTCGCATAATTCATCTCAAACTAGTTTAAATAGCATTTGCAACTACTTTTGGAAAGCAATTTTCGCGATGTTTTTGTACCTTTGGGGTTTTCGCTCTCGTAATCCCGTTCCACTGCCGTTTGGTAAACGTCTGAAACGTGCATCGTGTATTTGCCGTCATGATCTTCGTCACTGTTAATATTTTGACAAGAGTTCCCGATTCTAAGAGCGAAGACCATCAAAAATGCCATTGACAAGTGCATTTTAACACTTCTGGTCTTCATTGATGTTATAATCGTTGGCAGACTCAATTCCTTCATACCTAATTTATGCGAGATAGAGAACGCTTGAGGGCTTTTGCGTGTTGTGACAAGTGATCACGCGCATAATTAAGTTGTGCTCATTTAAAAACCGGAAAAGGTAACGTGTACAAACAAGAAAAAGCAAATAGGTTTATTTTTAGTGTTAAATCGAATTTTACTTTATCATTTTCTTGGGGGTTTATGATCATTTCAAAAGTTTAGGATTACTAAGGGGGTTCAGGGTAGAAATTTCTGATAATGAGGAGCCTCATTGGGCGTAATTAAACAGCTATTTGGAGAGAGTTGTCGGAATAAAGCGTAAAAGTGCACGCGACAACCCCGAAAGTTAGTATGGGTAGAATGGGTACAAGTAGGCACGCGCTGAATGCTTAAACAGATATGACAACACGGCAAACGTCATTTCAGATGTTAAAGTTTTCCTCAGAGTTGTGGAAACAAGTTTCTTTTCGCCATTTTAATTTTAGAATTTAACTAAAAAGTCATGTAACAGTGAAAGAATAGACAGGTTGAAAAATGTAATGGATCCTTGCTAATACTTCACGTGCAAAAATATATATGTGTAGATTCCCTCTACACCGATATGCAAAATTGCAATGCATGAATACCCAGACTACCATTCGTTCTTGTCGCATAGGCTTGATGCTACAGTTTGCAGAGGCCACGTACTAGATCCCGGCAGCCAAACCCATCCCCCACCTCTCTCCCATCTCATTAAAAAAATGCATGGTTCTTTTATTTACTTTTGACGAGTCAGAGCTAGAACAAAAGTACAAGATGACTCTATACACTTATCCTGGTCCCAGAGGTTTTTCTAGAAAAATCAAGAAAAATCTCTGGACCCAGGGTACTATACACTGACCTCAAGGTAAAATTCATGTTTTTCTCGGTGTTATCGAAGATTGCTGTGTTGTTTTTAGTTGTATTGTTTTTCAAAGAAAGGGAACACCAAGAAGTTTTCTTCATTAAGCTGTTTCTTGAATAGTTGACTTTTTACTCTGCCAAAAATGTTTATCCTTTAACTAGACGTCGTAGCCAGGATTCAAGACATATTAAAGAGAAAAGTTGATATGCCTATGTATAATATCGGCCCAGGGGCCCGTTTCTCGAAAGCCCCGAAAACTCTTCGGGCCCGTAAAGCCATAGCAAAATCTCGAACCTCACGATCGCAGAGCTGTTTTATTCACATGTTCTTAAAATGAAGAGAGGTTCCCTTCATATACAAGAAGTTTCAGGCGTATACACTCCTCCGTTTTTAGATACAGATGAACTAAAAATGGCTTTACGGACTCGAAACGTTTCCGGGGCTTTTCGAGAAACGGGCCCCAGTTCTTTCTATAAAATTAGTAGTAGCTGTACTGTACTTGCAAGAACCGTCTAGATCAGGGTGAACAATATCCGATTTAGAAGTGAAGTTTTTCAGGAGTGAAATAATTGAGAGATTTCACGCTTTCCTCTGCAAAAGTAATTCAACCAGACTCAAGAGTCAATTTATTTTGGACTTGGTTTGTAAATATTATCGGAGTTCCATGGTAATAGATGTCCAACAGTAGCAATTAAATAATGAAAGAATGAAAGATGCGAATGCGGCCATAACACTACTGGAAAAATGACCTGAAAAAATTTCAGGCTCTGACATTTTTTATTATCGGAGTTATTATGAACTATAGTCGTGTTACTGCAACTGGGACCGGAGATAGTCTACGTAGCAGAAGCTGATCTAAACGTTTTCGAGTTGGGCCAGTTTCGTCTCCGCCGGGGGAAGGCAAAGAGAGTGCCTCAGCATCAATGTTAGCGAGATATCCAGGCAATATATCATTGAAACTCAAGCAGACGTAGACAGCAATTAATTTATTTTATTCGTGTTATTTCTTTTACAAAAATTGAATGAGTTATTAATATTATTAACTAGGACCAGTGAGCGTCAAATGTCTTTTTCTTCTTCTTTAGATCACTGCGTCAGCATCTGCAGGACGTATGGAGAAATATATTAATAACATTGAATGTTTTGAGATTAGTGTTTCTTTTAAGTAGCTTCCAGAGGAAATGTTAGTCTTTAAAACTATTATATATTAAATGTGGGGTAATATCTACCAAAAATTTAAAATTCATGGACAACATTTATTTCCACTATCCCTTTCAACAGATTTCAAACCACCCAAAACTGATCGTATAACCCTGGAAGAACGTCAAGCTTCACCCTTCACTAAAGCGCTTAAGGAAAAACCCTGAGAAATCAAGCAGTATGTCAAGTTTCTTCCAAAAAATTAATCAGTCCGCCATTTCGGTTGTTTGGAAATGAATGGAAATAAAATTAATAAATGAACGAAACGATTAAAATGCTGTTTACCAGTTATTCGATTCGCCAGCATTTTCTTATTAATTACGTAAAAAGCTTTCAAATACAGATTAACGTAAGCTGCTTATTTTATTACAAAGGAGAAATAGAGGAGGAAATAATACAGATAATTGTTCATAATTGGCGACCGATAAAACCATTACTGTATCTTTTTAAGAAGTTATAAAGTGCGTGTTTAAATGGTAGCTGTCTCTTAACGTCTTCATTGTCCACTTCTCTTCACGTGTGCACATTTTAGGACAATTTAGTGACGTAAAAAGCAAAAATTCTTCAGGGAATGTGAAGTGGCTCAATGCTTTTTATTACCTTCACAGCCGTACAGTTCCACTCTCATTGATATATGTCTATGCCAAGCCACTGGTCCAAAGCGAATATAACGGGCTCTGATTGGTGGGTCGAGTTGATGGGAAATAACAGTGTCCTGATCGTTGTTTCCAGGAAATTCCTAAACGATAAGACGATTAAAAATGAACACTACGAAACAAGATCTACTAAAGGTAGACGGGATCATTACTGAGTAACTGAACAACAGGAACCTAGTGGAACCCAGTTTAAAAAATCTGCTGGAAGATGGTATTCGGTTGTTTTATAGTAAAAAAAGACTGACTTGCACAGGCTAAAAGGAATTGGATTGTAATAACGTGGTAGATGTTAGACAGGATCTACTGCTAATGAGACTTTAATTTCCTGAATTTATTATGGAATTTAAAAGTGTAATCGATGGTAACTGAACTTTAAACACTTTTCAAACATTGTATCATTGTTCCGTGGACAATTGTATTTTTTTCCTGAAAATATTTTATTCGAATATGTTTTGTTATAATGTGTATGTTGTTTGAAATGAATAAAATAACTTTGGCAATGCTAATCAATTCTTCAATGGGTCAGTCTTCACCTTATCCGCCGTTTGTCCTCGTGCTTTGTAGTACTGAAAGGTCACTCCATCATTACTGTATTGTAACATATACTTGGTCACCCATTGGCCATAAGAATTTCTTCCTTGCGTTGCTACTTTGGTAACCGCGGTATTCTCACAATCCATGTCAACTTGTAGCCATTGGTTGACATCATTGCTTTTGGCTGACCAGGCTCCTTGTTTGCCACTACCTGTTTCAAAGTGTAATCTCGCCTGGATTGCAGCATGATTGGCATCCATTTGTGAAGAGGCGCTGATTTGTCCGTCAGAGATTACACCATTTTCCATTCCGAGAGCTTCTTGGCATTCTAGAGATACAATAATTTGTGGGCTTACTAAAGATTTATATGGAAGTATCTGTGGCTTAGCTGTGCAAAGCTACAACCGTGATGCAATTGAAATTAGACCATTTTCGATCGAAAGAGAACACCTTTTTTATGCTTTGAAAATTATTCCTTTCAGTCAATGTTTTGAGAACTACACGGGGAATTATTTAATGAATTCTTTGGTTTTAATGATCACTAAAACGTTCGTTAGAATGCGGTTGTTGGTTATAATTATTAGCTTCCTTATGAATATTACTCCTATGTTCTGGGAGGTGGTTGTACGTTTCAATTAAATATTGTGGACTGTTATTACTATATTGAAATTTGTATACCTTTACAGCCGTAGAGTTCCACTCTCATTGATATGTGACCATGCCAAGCCACTGGTCGAAAACGGATATAGCGTGCCTTGATTGGCGGATTCAGGTCATGAGAAACAACAGTGTCTTGATCCAAGTTTCCAACAAAGTTCTGAAAAAGTAAGAAAGCATGTTGCGGGTCAGAGTTGAACTGTCTGAAATATTATTGTAACTTGAACCAGCTTCCCGTCATTTCCATATTTTAACCAGATTGCAGAATGAAAAACCAGTCTTTTCAGACTGAAAGTGTGGGCAGTCTATAAATCCTGATAGAAGAACAATTTTCGAAAAGTTCTTTTACCTTGTTTTCATTTCTTCCTTGTTCCCTGTAGTATTGGAAGTGCACTCCATCCTTACTGTACTCCAACTTGTACTTTGTCACCCACTGACCATGATTATTTCTTCCTTGTGTTGCCACTCCAGTTACTTTGGTGAACTCGCTACCCAGGTCAACTAGGAGCCACTGATTGGCGTTATTACTTCCAGCTGACCATCCTCCTGCTTTGCCTCCACCTGCCTG